AAGTACAACACTACTATCTTTGTGTTGAAAAAAAAAATTAATAGCATTTGGCCTTTTACAAGTAGTCTTTTTTCACTCTCAGGAATTATGCTAAACACATGGATAGCTGGGGTCAACCAGGGTGAAGAAAACTCAAATATTCGACTTGGCCTCAAACCATACCAGCTGTGCTCCTTTTTTCCCATTAGGCTCAGGCTTTTGGCTTTCACAAGCTCTTCCCTTAGCTTTTGTCTGCCAGCAGTGCTAAGGCCAGTGAGAGTCCTGTGACGAATTCCCAGGATTCAGTTTCTTCTTGCTTTTACTCATGTGTGTAACCTCATGAGGAGAGTAGGGAAGGCTGCAGGAATCCCTGGTCAGTCTAGGAGGCCAAGGGGATGGACAAGAAGAAGTCTCTGTAGGGCTAAGTATGTGCCCCTAGGGTCCAGCCTTGGCTTTGGATCAACTTTTTCATCAACAGAGAAGTTTGTGGAAATGGCCTTTCTTTGTCCTTGAAGAATCACTGAAACTCATTTGTGCAGCCAAATTTCAAGGTACTTTATCAGCTTATACATGAAACTTGCTTTTATGGGTTGTGGTAGAGCAATGAATTTAAAGTCTCTGAACAATAAAGAAGCTCCTGAGTGAGGACATTCCCTGCTTACCTTTAATTGGCAGCTTTCTCCTGGCTGGGAGGGTTTTCTGGCCTTTCTCCTTCTTGGGATAAGGAATTAGAGGAGAGGAATGAGTCAGGGCTCTTCCTAAAGGAATGGGGAACACTTGGTGACATGGGAGCTGATCACTTTTGTTCTTGGCTGACAAACAGGCTTTTCAGCTTCTTCAAGATGCTCAGTGATAATGGGCAGGTCAGTGATGACCATGGCAGAACTAGCTGTTCAAGCGTCTTCTGCCTCAGGTTAGTTAATGTATAGGAAGCAAACACATAGACTTGAAACCTATGTAGTGAGAAAAAAAGCTCTTTGAGATTTTTTTTTTCATAATTCAAAATTTAATTTTATTGGAAAATCCTACAGTAGAGGCCGTTTTTTGTCAGATAGCATCTCCATGCTGCACATGAGCTTTGCTGTGACAGGCAGCTCCAGTTCTGGCCAATTTGCCATACAGCTTCTCCTTTCCCTGCTCAGTCTGAGCCCACAGTCGGAACTGATCCTGTGTTTGTCTGAAAATGCTTTCCCATGTAGAACTGTGAACAGCCTGGAATAGTAGCAGTAACTTCTGCACTGTTTTGAGATGCTGACGTGTTTGAAGACACTGAAACAGCTTAAAGTGAGGATGAAGGTAGCATATTCAAAAAGCATTCAAAAATAGGCAATGCAGTCAAAGCTTATAAAAAAAGTTATTTAAACTAAAAATGAAAACAAATTAGGGTACTTGAATATTTTTAGGAATAATGTTTTGGCACGCAAACTTTTCCAAATACTTTCAGGGTCATATGCTTGCTGTTCTTCCTTAGGTGGGAGTCCCGTTGAAACTGGTGGGAGTTGTGCCTGAATAATACTTTGGCCCATGATTTTCTCTAGTATGACATTTTTTTCTTGAATGACCTCCTAACAACCTTGTTTGTAAGTCATTTGTCATGTTTATTCTCTGAATAAAAAGTGCCTTCCATCTGTTCTTAATCTGTGTTCCCTTTAACTTCTATTTTTGCCTCTTTTTTTCTGTCATCTGTGTTGCATTGGAAATAGACTTTCTGGGCAACTTTATTTATCTCCATGTAAGTGGTTGTAGTTGTTGCAGTGAATCTCCTGGTGGTCTTTTCTTTAGGCCCAGACAACCACAGTCATCAGGAAAGAAAAATAAAAAAGGAGAAAAAATAAGGAGGCAAGAGCTTTGAATTAATTATTTACATTATGGAAGTTTTACTTAGATGCCCCTCTCTAGACGACCTTGGGCAATGTTTTCTTTCTAACTCTTTGTGGTCTTCCAGCTCTCAGCTTCACAGACTTGTGTTTTCTGAGCTGGTCTCACACCAGCTGTTCATTTTAGGTGAAGCACATGTGCATGGTCTATGCTTTTTCCTGGCATGTCAGTACATACATAATTTCCTACATTCTCCAATAAAGTCTACAGTTGTTTTGGTGAAAAACTAGAGCATTGTTTTATAGGAAAAAACAGAAAAATAATTATTGTCTCTTTCTGATAAAAATTTTGGCAATTAATGCTGATTTCTCAGCATGCTGTGACTTTTTAGATAGAAAAAATCTCTTCTTCAAAAGCACTATTGCTATGTGTGCTCACCTCTTGTGGAAATGAACATATTCCCATTCCCTCTATTCGCAGACTCTCTAGGTTTAAAGAAACTGCTGGACATGTCTTTCTTTTCCTCATTGGGAGAGTGCAGAAGAGGAAAGAAGGCTCATTCTCTGAATCCTTTGATCAGCAGAGTGAAATCTAAGATTGAGCAATGCTTCATTATACTGATGGACTAAATTTATCTTTAATAAATATAAGATAATACACATGGCGGGTAGGTCTCAACTTATGTATGCAAGCATGACTTACAGTTGCTAGTTCTAAAAAAGACACGAACAAAAAAAACCCCCAAAACTAACCTAAACCCCAGCTTGTTCAGCAGAAGACAAAAAAGCAAGCAATGTTTGAGAAGTTTTAAAAATGAAATAAAAAGCAAACCAGTGAACATCGCTATTCCACTACACAAACTACAGAAACATGTTGTACATCCAACTTTTGAATTCTGTTTGCACTTTTGGCCTTTTCTCAGGAAGTAGACCTCATGCAGAATAATCAAAGCTGTGGAAGAGCTTGTCTGGAATAGCTTCCATAAAGGTCACAACTATGTAAAGTTGGGCTCTTCACTCTTGGAACACTAGGGAAGGATCTGTAACAGCACGTGTGGCACATAACTGGTGACATATTCAAAAAGAGCAGGAGGAAGGGATTTTATTGTAAATGTATAGCTGAAATGTCAAGTTCACTCTCACAGGGTGTTACGGATGCCAATAAGTTACAGATGTGCAAAATGTTATTTAATAAAATGAATGGAATTTAAACACAGTTATGGCTATTAAAAAGTGTGACCTCATCTTAGGAAGGCCCCAGAGCGGGGCTGAGATCCTGAGGGAGCATGAGTACATGCCTGCCTCTCATTCTGCCCTCAGCTGCTGCAACTGTCTGTTCTTGAGAAATGAACTGCAGGGAGAGGTGAATTCTCATCTCCCTGGTGCAGCCACTGCATTTGCTTTGCTGAAATCAGACTTACCACACAGCTCTTACTGCAACTGTTCTGTTCATTCAGATCCAACCTTTAATTTATTTGTAGCTCTGTATTAAAAAAAAACCAAACAAACAAAAAACCAAAAAACCCAACAAACCACAACCAAAGAGGAGCTTTGTTGGTTAGCATTTTTCATTCATGGGGCTGTGATTGATGAGTGGGGAAGGATGTGACCTGGGAGGTCTGGAAATCCATCCCTCAGCCCTGTCCTGCTGTGTGCATGCCTGCTTTGCTTGTGTTTCATGGCCCATGCTGGCTCACTTTGTAGGCTGGGGTGGGTGATGAGTGCCTTGTGCAAGATCAGTGCCTGTGCAGCAGAGCCCTTGTTGGCTGGACTGCAGTGTAGGGACCTTTCTTCATCCAGACAATGCTGATTTTTATTGGTTTTGTGGGTTCCTTTCAGAAGGGCACTGCCTACATTTTTCTTTTGTGTCATCCCTCCTCTTTTGCTTGCTGCTCAATGCGTGCTTGGTTAATATTGTATTTCTTCCATTCCTTCTCAAGCCAATGTATGACCTCTGAAGTAGATGGCCCTGGGAAAAGACTTCATCCATGCTTTCTAGCAGGCTTTTTTGTTTAAATAAATAGTTTTATTTTTGTTAAAAACAGATTATAACTGGCCTTGAGGGAGATGACTCTGCTTTAATAATGGTTTGATTCTAAGCATTTTGCTACTAAACTGGCTTATTCTCATTTTAAGGTTATCTTTATTCCTATTTTTAAAATAGTGCAATGTATTTGGAATACACATTGCAAACGTGATTCTCAGATGCTGGCATTCTGTTTTTCAGGAAAATCAACTAATAATAGTTTTAAATTGTTGTAGTAGGAGATCCATCAAACCCATGGTAGCAAACTGCTAACTGTTTTGGACAGGTTTTATCCCACTGAATATCCAACTTGTTGATTTTTAAAATTATTCTAGTTTCTCAGTCAGAAATCATGGAAGCCTAGAATAATTTGTGTCCAAAGGGATCTTAAAGATCATCTAGTTCCTACCCCTAATAGGTGCCAATAGCACATGCCATGTACAAAATACTAATGATGTATGTATGAGTCACAAGCTGGTGATCTGAGAGTTAATAATGTGTTACAGACTCTCCTGTTGTCAGGAGTGCAGCAAAGGCAGAATGCCCATTTTGTGCCCAAGGTGGGAGAGCAGTGGAAGTGGAACTCTTTAGTCCCATTGAAAAGTTACTGAAAGCAAAACCTTCCAGTGTGACCTCTGCTGTCAGCCCTAACAGGAATGTAGGGAGCAACATCAAAATGTTTCTTTTTAACTCTTTTAAACTCTTTTAACGTTGTTTTAAATCTTAACAGAGATTTGCATGGGAGAAAATTTGCCTGATTGAGACCCATTGAAGAAAGACACTCTACCAGTATTATCTCTTACTTATTATTTTAATTTAGCTGGAATGGCTTGAATGGAGATAGAGTTTAACTGAAGGACAGGAGGCCCTGCCTTGCTGTCACAGGGTTTTGGTAAGATGAGATCACAAGGAAGAACTTAAGTGAGAAATTGTCTTTGGAAGTGTTAAGTAACAGGTTTTTGGATACAGAGGTACCACGAGAGAGGGGAGAAAAGGAAAATTAAGATCTGGAAATAAATCACATAATCACATTTTCTCATATAGTTATACTTCTTTGATGTTTAATGTTGTGCTGAAAAGAACTTTGTAATAGACAAAATGTGAGCATTGGGCTCCCACTATTGAGCTTTCTGTCATAGCCTAATTTTTTTTTTCCCTCTGTCACTTTTTTTGTATAGGTGGAAAATGTTAGGTTACTTGATCGTTTATCTTCAAGAAGAGCTGTGGTGGGAACCTTGTATTTAACAGCTACTCATGTCATATTTGTGGAGAATGGTTCTGAAACCCGCAAAGAAACCTGGGTATGAATTTTTATTATTTCAATTGGCTGTAAGTGCATGGCACTTTATTGATGGTCATTTGAAAATTGCTTCCAAAACACTTTAAAAATAGTTATTTCATTCATATGGATGCTTTTATGAGGCTGTGTGAAGTTCTAGCCTAGTAATTTTCAAAAATTTTCAGTGGATTCTAGATATTATGGTATAGTAAGAGGAAGAGAAGGGCCTTCACTGTATGAATACCAGATGTGATTGACTGAGGAACAGCTGCTGTAAGCTGCTACACCTATCATCCAGGCAGAGCTGAGGGAAATACCTTGAATGTGAACTGCTTCCTTGGCTCTGTCAATTCTTGGCCTTCTCCCTTACTGCTAATGTTGAATCAGTGATTTTGTTGGTTTAATACTCTAATTCTTTTTATGAAGTGGTATTTTGAAATAGCTGTTTTGATTGATTGACAACATATATTACCTTTTCTTGTTGTTTAACCCCAGCCACTGACCAAGCCCCACACAGCCACTCACTCACTCCCCCACCCAGCAGAATCAGGGAGAGAAGCTAAAGGGTAAAAGGTAGAAAATGGTTTAAGATAAAGAGAGTTTAATTAGGAAAGCAAAAGCCACACACACAGGCAAAGCAAAGCATGGAACAAATTCACTGCTTCCCATGGGCGGGCAGGTGTTCAGCCATCTCCAGGAGAGCAGGGCTCCATCACATGTAACAGTGACTTGGAAAGCTGAATGTCATCACTCCAAGTGTGCCCTGCTTCCTGCTTCCTTCCACTTTAAGCATTGAGCATGATGTCACATGGTCTGGAATACCCCTTTGGTCAGCCGGGGTCACCTGTCCTGGCTGTGTCTCCTCCCAGCCCCCATCACTCTCAGTTTCCTGGACTGCAGGACTGCAGTAGGCCTTGCTCTGTGTAAGGAATAACAAAGCCATCTCTATATTATCAACCCTGTGTTCAGTGCAAATCCAGAACACAGCCCCATGGCAGCCACTGTGAAGGAAATTAACTCTACCCCAGCCAAAATCAGCACACATGTACACATACAGCTGTTGCTCGCTGCCATTCATCGGAGAGTCTTTTATGTAGCTCAATTATGCAGCCCTTGTTCATTTTTGCACTAATTAACTCCATCTTCCTTTGATCCCGCTATTCATGACCAGATTTTTATTGTAATGTTTAATCTCATTTGATGCAGTATTTAAAATTATATCAGCATTACCATTCTACCCATGAGGAGGCACAATATTTTAGCCTTATGTAACTGATGCTGGTTCATCTTTTCCCTGTGCAAATAGATGAAAAGAGCTTTGACAACCACCAGCTTACACTGAAGCAAACAAACAAAAAGCTTTGGATAGTGTGAGCAGCCTGGTGTTTGAGCAGCTGAAACACTCCAGAAATGCCTTTTTGTCTGCAGGTGATGTATCAAGCTGCTTGAGCATGAAGCTGGAGATAGAACCAAACTTCAAGAGGAGGATCATGAGGGTTTTCTGAAAGAGTAGTGGAAGCTACTGTGCCTGCTCTGGCACGTCATTATAAATAATTGCTTTTCTTCTCAAAGATTTGACTAGCATAACTCTTTTCAATTCCCCTCAGGTTCTCCACAGCCAAATTTCCTCTATTGAGAAGCAAGCCACCACTGCCACTGGCTGCCCATTACTGATCCGCTGCAAGAACTTCCAGGTCATCCATCTGGTGATCCCTCAGGAACGAGACTGCCATGACGTCTACATATCTCTGATACGTTTGGCTCGACCAGGTACGGGAAGAAAACAGCACAAAAATCCTGAAGAGGGAGAACTTAATGGAAGAAATGTACCTGTGCACCTTTGTCCTTTGCAGGTTAAGAAAAAAGGTTCAATAGAGATGTGTTGTGGGAGAAATATTGATATAATCATTTGTAGATCAATGAAGAAAGCTTATTATAACAAGCAGTTAATTCCATAAAGTATGACATGAACTTCTATTTAAAATAATACTCTAGGGCATCATGTACCATAAAATATATTATGAAGATATATTGTGTGCAACTAATTTGCTGTGTAAATGTAAATTTTGGAGAATATTCTAAATTCAGATAAGTTTTATGTCCCTGTTGTAACAAAAACTTTACAATACATTTAGTGGTCCTGTCAAGATTTCCATTTTGATGCTTTGTGCTGTGCAGAAATTCCTTAAAATCAGTGAAAGGTTTAGCAGCAAGTAGTTGTTTTATTTCACTGGGCTGCCTGTGTTTTAGCCTATTATTATCTACATCCTGAATATGCCCTGTGTGTTTCTGAATTCAGTTCAGGATCCTTTTGAAACCTTTCCCCTTTTCAATGAAAAACCAAATGTTGCATCAAAGCCCAACATTTGGTTGCCTACATTATATTATAGCTCCTCTCTGCACTGTGCTCTCCTAAGACCCAACTGACAAAGCTTCTGCATTGTTTATTTTAAACTATGACTTTATAAATATAATACCAGCTTTGGTTTTTATTATTATTTTAACAGTATGCAAAGAAATTATCTGTTGCAGTCTTTACAAAGCTGACAATAACTGGATTTAATTTTTTTCTTGCTAAGAGAGTGCCAATTTTATCTACTGTGTAAAGGGGACAAAAATTGCACAGTCAACCAGCCCAGCTACTGAGCCTTAAAAAGGACTAATAGTAGCAGTAGTACTCTATAACTGTAGCAGAAGTAACTTGGTAAGCTAGGTGATGCAGGGTGAAAGTAATCAGAGAAATTTAAAACAATTAGAAAAATTCAATCAGTGGTTCTGCTGATGAAAATCTGGATTCATTCCATGCACCTCAGCTGCAAGTACATGTTCATGTATGCTAGAAGGCATGTGATTCTGTAATCCTTTTTCTTGGAGGCAGGAGGAGGTGTGCGTGCTGCTATGCACCATAATGATGAAAGGAAGAGTAGCTGAGGACCCTGAATACAAGTTCAGTGACTGATTGCAGTGGACAAGAAGGTCTGAGTAAAGAAGATGCAGCAACAGCACTGTAGAATTAGCTCTTTGCATAGTTTAGCTGCACAGCAGTTTTCCTTCTCCAGCAACTGATGTTACCGTGATTTGAGACAGGATATGTTCTTGCCTACCTACTCAAAATTAGAAGGCTCTGATTCAAGCTGAGTCATTTGTACCTGACAGTGCTCTTCCCTGTCATTTTGTCAGGGCATGAAGCTGTACTTCCTTTGGATATTATGGTTACTCAGCATTAGAAGGGATTTTTTACTCCATGAGCAGATAATTTGACCTATTCAGGCTCTATTTTCTATTCTCTGCCTGTTCTTTTCATTCATTCCTGAGAGAATGTTGCTCATGTTGTATACTAGCTTAGCATGTTCTATGCTCTCTGATGTCCTAGTTACAGTAAAGGTGAAGGTTATGCCTAATTTTATTTTTGCTAGAATTTTAATAAGGTCAAGCTGTCAACTGAATTTGACCTTTTTGCTTAAGTTATTTTGTAAAACAAGCTGACCATAAGATACTACATGTTCAAGAGCAGGATTGCTGATGTTTATGGCAAAATTACTGAAAGATTGGGAAAGGTCCTATAAGTACTGGCAAAGATGTGGTAAGGTACTGACTACTAATACTTGAACATTTTTGTTACTCTGCAGATACCATCATGTGGTAATACTTATAATGTTGAGGATACATAGGCAGATTTTTAAAGGCTTTCCTTGTGCCTGTGGACAGCAGGTCCATTGGAAAGAAAATCCAGATGCTTCTGACAACAAAGCAGTGAAAACAGGAGGTCAGATTGCTACTAAAAGCTCAGCTTGGATTTATGGATTGTGCTAAAACTTTAGGTTAACGTGTGAGAAATAAACCAGACTGTCTTCCTAATCTGTGCCATACCATAAGTTTGAAATTAGAGAATACAGGAGGAGTTTAAACTGCTGGAAAGTGTGGAAATCATTCTCTTCTTTCTCCCTACTCAAGACTTTGTTGATTTTCAGTATGTTCCTGACAGAGTTAATATGAACATCCCAGTAACAGCTGGGATTCAATGGCAGTGGTGTCTGGCTGCCACTGGTCACCAGGATTAGGATTAATTAAATGCATATATATGCCTAAAAAAATTTAAAAGCTCTAGCACCACCAAACTTTCATATATGGTATGTGGTTGTGGGGGACAGGTGGCATAGCTGCTTAAACCACTTCTTGGTCATGATAAAATATTTGATGTAGCACATGCATCTTTATGCTATTACATCGTGTGCATCTCCAATGCATTTGCTAATAATTCAAGGACAGAATTTTGCAGTCCACAAAACTGATTTCATTGGATCTATTGTAAAGCTTCCTAATTAGGGACAATGACTACTGAGGTTTTCTTTTCATTTTTGGAAGAATGTTCTGCAAAGTCCATTGTTCATATCTTTTTTCTTTGCCAGAGGATGGATGTTACATTAATAAAGGGATTTCTAAACTACCTCTAGACAGCAAATTCTTTTGAAGAATGAGTGCTTACTCTGGCACTGGCTTTAGTTTTCTTTGGATGAAAGCATATTGCTGACATTTTGTGTTTGTGCTGGGGAAAGTTTTTACAAATCTACTGAAGACTAGCAGAACAGTATATTTTAAGTAGCACTTCTCTTAAGGCACATACATTGCAACATATACAAAAATAACAAAAGAGCATGTACTTTCAAAGTTTACTGGACAGTAGATATAAAGCAGATATGTGCTTTTGTAAAGCAAAGTGTACTCTTTGAAAGGAAGCTGCATCAAGGTCCATGCCAAGTTCTTGTTTTGAAGTGTGATTTCAGGACAAGAAATCTCAAGTCGTTTACCCTTTCTGTTTCTTTGCTTATGTTTTTTTTCCCCAGTGAAATATGAAGAGCTGTATTGCTTCTCCTTCAATCCAAAATTAGATAAAGAAGAACGAGAGCAAGGGTGGAAGCTTGTGGACCTCAATGAAGAATACAATCGGATGGGTGTTCCAAACAACTATTGGCAGATTAGTGATGTAAACAGAGACTATGGAGTAAGTTGTTGTGATTTTTCTGTCACAGAGGCTGTCTGTACAACAAAGCAGCAGCCTGACTGAGGACCACCATAGTGCTTAGTGGCAGTATCTCTTTGTGCTCAGTGCTATACACACATGTAGTAAGGTGCTGTTACTCTACTACTTCACGTTATTCTACTGCTTCACATAAAATGGCACGCAGAAAGTGAGAGAAGGGATGGGTCTTCATTTAACAGATGTGGAAATGAAGAGCAGAAAATAAGTCCAGTGTATTTTAAATGTTAGAGTTCAGCTGCCTGGGAAGAAGTTTAAGTCATACCTAAGGTTATATGTGTGAATAAGAGATTCCCTGATATGTAGGGCTATGTAAAATTACTACGTAGGTATTTTAAGAAAATTTAAAAAAAATTGTTCCAGATGGAACAATTGGCAATATTTTTTCCTCCCTGGCTGTTCCCACACTCCTTTTGAAGCATCTGTGATTGACTGTCAGTGATTTTCACAGTGATCTTATAGGTCATATATCTGCCTAGCTGCCTGCTGTCCTGCCTCATTCGGTCTTGTACGATCGAAGACCTTTTAATGGTAATTAATTGTGAGAAATAATAACCAAGATTTTTGAAGGAAGTTTGTCCATGCACTCCATTGGTTCTGTTGCTGGAACATATCCATGTTAAGGAAGGACTGTGACATTCTCAGAGAAGACTGAATGTGCTATCAGGGTTTGTTTTCTTTTTGTTAAAATGAGTGGAAAAAAAGTATGATCTCTTTTAAAATAAAGTGTAGAAAAAATGTCATGATAAATAAAATCCAGTTCACTACAGCAGCAACTGTAACCACAAGCCCTTCCTTTCCTTTCTCTTTCATTACATATCTCTTGACTCAGAAAATAATTTCTTCCTGGCCATCCTTTATGCTTTAGTCATCTCAGAAAGTCAAAGGGAGATACTGAATATCCTTCTGACCCTAGGCAGAATGCTACAGACAATATCAGGAAAAGAGGATAAAAACAGGATTACATCTGTGGTCTCACTTGTCTTCAGAAGTAATCTGGGGCTTTTTTTGCAGGCTCATCTTGTTCCTCTCAGAACTGGTAGGCATTGTCAGGGCTGCTTGCCTTTTGGTAGCCTCATTTCATGTGGCTTAATTTCTTGTTGCCATGTCCTTATTTTTGTCCCTTTTTTTTATTATTATCAAATTTTCTGAAAAATTTGGCTCTATTGTCCCTTCCCATTATTGTCCCTTCCCAGCAGAATGTTTGACAACTTCACCCACTCCCATCCTTACTCCCAAATTCTGCTTCAGAGGATACTGTGGTTGTAAATACAACTTTAATTACAACCTGTAAATACGTAACAATAAATCCTTTCTGGGATGAATGTGTGTTAAACCTGTCTGTTCTCAACAAGACATGAATTAACACTTGGAAATACAGCCCTTCAACCCTTTTCCTTCAGTTTTTCCATCTGTAAGTTAGGATTAACACTTTCCAGCTTCAAAACAATGTTTTGAGGAACGGCAGTGATATGTATATAATAATAACAGACTATTCCCTGAGGTTAGAGTTCCTTGGTAGTTTGTTTTTGCTGTGGAAATGGCTAATGCTACTTGTACTTTGCAGACCAAACAGAGTTTCCTTTCACAGGTCTGTGACTCCTATCCTACAGAAGTCTATGTACCAAAGTCTGCAACTGCACACATCATAGTGGGGAGTTCCAAATTTCGAAGCCGAAGGCGTTTCCCAGCTCTTTCCTACTACTGCAAGGGCAACAATGTAAGTGTGAATTTGTAACCTCACAGTGTTTGCTTATTTTGGCCTTGGCCTCACAATTCTTCTAGTAAGGTTTTGCAAGACAAAATCAATGCTTATTTAATTAAAAAAATATATTAGCGTAGGCTGGTTAGAGTGGTTAGTTCTTTAACAGACGTTTAATATAGACATTTAAACCCAGTTTCATCATTCAGCTAACACAAAAAATATGTGATCCCTGTATCACAAGGAAGTGGAGTAGTACAAGAGGCCCTGAGACATGGGTGGCAGAGCAATGAAGGCCAGTAGCAGGCAGCTTAGTAGCTGATTGGGACAACAGAGCAATTTTGGATCTGGCAGCCTGAGAGCAAGCTGAGGAGGTCAGAAATTATACTTGCATCAGTTAGAGAATCAAGAGCAGCTTTTCAAGATAAGCTCTGTGAAAATACACAGAAAGGATGGATATAAGAGCTACTAAATTTTGGCTGAGTAGTAGGTTGTGGTTTTTGGTTTTACTGAAGAGAATCTCCTTGTCTGCAAGAGTGAGGAGTTCCCCCTTGCCCTCTCCATAGCAAACATTCTTAGGGCTGAGAAAGGAACTGCTTCACTTGTCTGTAACCATTTGGAAAAAAACCCTGTAGCTAGACTTCATGTATTTCTGTTTCTGGCAGCTGAGGTGAGCAAGGAGACCCTTAGACTAAAGGATCCCCCAAACTGAGTGTTTTTACATTTGTGTTCCAGCCCCTTAGGGACTGCCTTAGCTCAGCTGTCATTACCAGAGAATGGTGTCCCCTTTGTACTCTCAAAGGATCTGTGTGACTCCTGCTTCAGAACAGAGTGGCACTGAGAGGTCTTCCCTAGTGTTGGGGGAAGGTCAGGACCTTCCAAGAGACAGAGCTAGTCTGGGCTTACAGGGTATCTGTAGCATTTGCCACACAGGCTGGGATATATTTCTGCAGAATGTCACAAGCACAAATCATAAGCTACAATCTCCATAGAAATCTTGCCTTTAGAGCAGCCCTTATCATAGATTTAAGCTTCAGAAGAAAGGAATGAGAAATTATTTTTACTCCTTTACCCTGCATTCCATCAGAGCATTGCTTCCATAAAGATCTTGCTTCCATCAAGATTCATTGAATTTTACAATGAAGTGGAAAATAGGAAGATTTAAATAGTAAATACAATATCTGCGTAAGTTAAATATTTTTTTAACATTTTGTTCAGGTCAAATTTTTCAGAGTCAATCACTTTGCATGATCAGCTATGTCCAAATATAGATATCTAGGATTCAAAACACTTGGACATTTCCAAATCTCAGTAAAAAAAAGGTTTCAGGGTCAGGTAGATTACCATTAATATATAGTAATTCATCTTGGATGAGTTTCATGTTTTAGCCTGAATGTTTTCCCTGCTGTGGTTGAAGTTCAGGTTAATGTTCAAAGTACCAGGATCTGAAGTATTGTGTTTACTCCTGGAACCTTTATAGTTTGAAGAGCTAGGAAAAGCAGTGTTTTCCTAGGAAAAGGAAATACCTCCTTGTGAGTGTGGAGATTGCCAGTAAATAGAGTAAATGGGCAGGAAAGGGGTAAGATTTAACAGCAGTTTGGGAAGAGCCTGCTGCATGCAGAGGAGACAGGTACCACTCATTCAGTCCTTCATAGACAGAACTTTCACACAGCTCCTTCGTCCTGACAAATTCAGTGGTGATGTGACACCTCTGCATCTTACAAAGTCTGTGTGAATATGATAAGATCAAAGTCTGCAGCTATCTGTTCAGTTTATGCAATAGCATGTAATAAATCACTGGAATATGTGCTGATCAGAAGACTAAATAACAAGAAAACCATGGTTTGCAAAACCATTAATAAAGTATGAACAGGGTCTCACACAATTCTGGGTTTCTCTCTTAAAGGCCCATACTTTACTGAGTAGCTACTGGTAGTTCAGAGATGTGACTGGTAGTTCAGAGATGTGACTGAAAAAAGCATGTCCTTTCTCACAGTAATAAATAAGCTGTAGGACAGCCTGCACAAGTTGTGACCTTCAGTAGGCAGATTCTCTTCATGCTTATGTTCAGTGCTTAGAAAGTGCATATATTATCCCCTTGTCTTCTATAAATCTAGCTGTCCTCTGCCCAGCAAAAATAAAAATCTCCCTGCCCACCTATTTCACATTTTGTTTCTTCTTTCCTGGTTTCATCTGGAAAGAAAGTGATCTTGATGGGTCAGTGGAGAAGCTCTCTTCACTGAAGCCTCCTTCAGTAGCCCTGGTAAATACAAGTACTCCAGGAGTGAGGCTGCCTGACCCACTTCTTATGCAGTCAGGTCTTTTTCCTAAGGCAGTGCTAAAAATACCCCATCATTGGTGATCTGTTTGCGTGTCATACATTTTTATTTCCTAGACTCATGCTGTCAGGCTGTTCAGCAAAGCAGGCACTGGTGTAGGTTGGGTGTAATCAGTCTGGTACCTGGTAAGTGTGAGTATCAAAGGACCTATTCCTTATGTTATATCAGTGTTCTCATGATTTCAAGGCTGTACTCATTCTCAAGATATCACCTTTCAGGAGTTATTCCACATTAGGGAAATACAGTACTTGAAATAGCTCTAAAATTCAGATTCAAGACTAGACTTGGGCCAATGGGGTTGTATTGTTTTAATGCTTCCTTGCCTTTTAAAAAACTATATATTTATTAACATGTAATTTAAAATAATGAATTTATTAATTTTACCATTCTGCCTTTCTCATGTAATTGTACCTCTATGTAAACATCTAATGATCTAGTTTTGTAAATGCTTCTGGATGCTAAATAATTTCTACTTTATAATTCTGTAAGGTTTTTTGTTTGATTGTCTTCTTTTCTGCAGGCCTCCATATGTAGAAGCAGCCAGCCTTTATCTGGCTTTAGTGCTCGGTGCCTTGAGGATGAACAGATGCTCCAGGCCATCAGAAAAGCCAATCCAGGAAGTGATTTCATATATGTTGTTGACACTCGGCCCAAAGTAAGTACATCTAATTTCTTGGACATAGCAAGACTGAGTCTGGGCTGAATCCATTAGGGAAGACACACAACCTAAGTGACTGACCAAGTCACTTCTGATCTTAGATACATCTGTCTAACTCCACAGGTACATGAGGATTTATCAGGGGAATCTTAACTACAAACCTTGACCACATTATTGTCTCTGGGAGAATTTTCTTTACACTGAACCTTTCCCTTTTCTTGTTCTTAGCAAAATGTCAAGATACAGAAAAGTAAATAAGTTGTAATTGTAACTGTTTACACACATAAAGGAGCTACCAAGTAAGTATATTCCTGATGAGACTGGCAAAAATTAATTCCCATTATAAGATGTATTTACAATTTTTTGTAATGTTGCAAACCTCTGACTTATACTGTCATTCTCCATGAATGATTTCTCCTGGAAGTGAGAAAATTCCAATGACCCCTGCATAAGGCTAAAGAAAGACAAGTCACTGAGGTCACAGGAGTGGAAGAGACCTTTAAATATCTCCAGCACTTTGGTGGTTTTGAGAGACAATCTGAAATATGATGAATAGTGACATCAGATGCCATATCTATAATTGATTAAAAACCTCTGGCTAAGAAAAAAGCTCTATAAAATATTATGCTATGGAGAAATATAGAAACTCAATAATGATCTGGAAAAGGTTGGAAGCTAAGAAAACTTTGTGTCAAAATTGTCATACTAGCAAACAGCTCAAGGTGATAAAGACTAGATAGACTTCAGTATCTAGAGGTCAGACTAGGGATATGTTCTTTCTTATACTGTCAGCAACTTTCCTCTTGAAGTTACCAAAGCCTCTGAAGAAAAGAAACTAGAGGCAAACCTCCACAGAATCCCTTGTAGGTATAGGAATAGCTATAGAATGGGAAAAAGGGAAAAAAAAAGAGAATAAATGTTTGAGGAAAAGGAACAAGGAAGCAGTTTCATTATCCTGAGATCAGAAGACAGAGGGGCAAGGGCAAGGTGAGTAAAACTGAGAAACATGAGAAATGGAGTGGGAAGCGCAAAGCCGGCAGAGCTGGAGCAGATACAAGGAACCTGCATGGCTGGTGACTGACTGAAGGCATGAGCCTTGGGGGGAAGGTGCTGTGAGTCCTCACAGCTCCAATGGGAGGCAGTGGCCAGAAAATGAGGGCCTTGGCACGTCTCATTGACCCAAGTCACACCAAGGGCTGTGTAATCTGGTAACTACTTTTACCTTCAGTTCCCTCTGTTTCGTTGGGAAGACGAGGATGCTACCAGCTTACTTGTGGTCCTGAAGTGAGTGAATTGTGATGAGCACTAGGAAAGGATTAGTACCATTGTGTTCAGAAAGGGCATTAGACATGAAATGCAGACCTAGCTGACTAAATAATGCTTGTTTAACAGTTTTCTCTGGGTAGTAATAGTTTTAACTTGTTTCCTGTCTGATGATACTGGTACTCTTCCCTATTTAAGGCAGTTGATTTATTGCTAATGACTTACTGACTTGGTTATTAATAATGTTTTACCAGGTAGTAACAAGAATGAGCCATCCTTTATTTTTTTTTTTTTTTTCTGGTAAATTATTTTGCAACATCTTCTGTGTGCAGTGAAAAAAGCCCATACTTTGTGGAATGTATGGAGAGACTGAATTAGGCTCACTCAGCTGTGAATGCCAGCATATTCCCAGCAATGCTGGCTTCTTCACGAGCTAGTCAGGAGATGAAGACTGTTTGTTTTCACTTAACTGTTTTGTTAAAAAAAAGGTTTTGATGTAAATAAATATGTATACCAGATTCCTACTACTCTCTGTGCAGCAAAAATGGACAGATCTCCCAGATCTCCCAGACAAAGCTCCCAGATCCCAGATACCAAATACAGCCTTGTTACAATTTTGCACCTGATAATGCATTTATAGCTGTAGAGCATGTAACAATGGATAGGTATCCGTGGAAGCAGTTCCTGGCATTCCTCAGGGAACCTTTAACAAATGTAAAGATAAGATGTCCAGTCTGGTGGAAGGCTTTCCATTCCTGTAGGCAGCTAAAAAGCTGTTTGCCTCATTTCTCTTAAGAACCAGTTCTTTGTAAAGATCATGAATGTTGATGGATCCTTCAGTTCAGCATTTCCAAGTGCTCTTCCCTCATTGCACTTGATAATTTCAAAACAAATTATTTGTCTGTGGAAGAAGGCTTTGTTTCCACTTCATTTGAATATATCAGGATGGCCAAATACAAATTTACTTAAGCCACTGTCATTTCTCTATGTAATCACTGAAGAAGCTAATGTAGACTTAGTGTTTATGACTAAAACACATTATTTCCTTAATCTTTATAACAAGACTTGACTTGGTTATCCTCCAGTTAAAGAAAATGCCTGGAAATCTTGCAAGTGGGGCCTTCTACCTTTACAGGCTGTATCCTCATATTCACTGAGATTAATCAAGGACATGCACAATTCAGATAGCTCCACAACAACTATTTTAAGAGCAACAGATGGAATTTTGGTAGATGATGTGGAAAACTTGTTAGTAAATATTATGGCAGCTGCAAAGTTTGGCAACTGACAGTATTTAAAATAAATGAGTGTCAGAAAGCCTTGCAAATTTAACCTTATATTTATTTACTTTCAAAGAGTGCTATTTCAGATTGCCCTTTAAGAAAGGATATTTGTGATGAAATTGCTCTGCTGCAGGAACAGTTAATGGTATTTATGTGCCGAGTACTGGGTTAGTTAGAGGATAGATGTTTTTCATTTAGGCTTTCAGGGGTTTGTGGTGGCTGAGACTCATGTGTGCAGATCTTTCTTCCTGAAGCTATAGGCTGCTGCAGAGAGAGACTGCCTCATGTTGTTTATACAAGAACACTGATGTCAATTTCAAAAGAGAAAGATTAGGATTCAGCAGATCATTTTTATCTTTGTAACAAGTCACACAGAGGACTCTGTCCTTAACTGACATGCCTTTCACAGGCTGTATGTTTTTTTTATTGTCCACTGATAGTCAAAACATGAGCAGACTGCTGCTTGATAGACAAGAGTGAAGTTTTTTTGTCCTTCTCTTTCCTGAATTGCATACTACAAATTAAAAGAAATTTTGCCCAAGATTTGTATAAATCAAAAATGCTGGATTTTTGCCCAGGTTCCTGTCCAGAGTGTGGTTCCTTCTGTTGTGTCATGAAATTAATGCAATGTTTCAATTCCTAATGGTGGTCCACAAATGTAACTTTTGAGCTCTTTCCTTTGAAAGTTAAGGTATCAGGTTTGGTCCTTGGAAACCTGTTTTGACATATAATGTAAAAAACTGAACTTGTTCATCTTGGTTGGAGGGAAGATGGCATCAGACAATCAATCCCCAATTGTGTGTATTGGCTCCAAGTTAAAGTTGAATATTGGGAGTATGTGTGTTTGGGGTGGAAGAGGTCAGAAAATGAGACATTCTTGTATATCCCATGATGCCATTAGCTAAGCACTGAAATATATTATTGTGAGTTTCAGATGTGACCACAGAAGCAGTGAATCAATAGTACTGCCTGCGCTATTGGGAAATAAACTGGAGACAGAGTTATCTGCACAGCCTCTTGTCCCCTAGGCAATGCCTAAGTGAGACTTTTTTTGCTTTTTCATGAGCACTGGCTCTCACTGAAGAGAAGATGAGTCACTTATTGTCCAGTTGATGCCTCATGAAGTCTATATCCTTAATTATTTCTTTCTTAAATCTTTCCTGAGCAGAAGCTGTTAGTTGTGCTTGGAGGCATGGAGGTTCTGCCACTTGAGCTGCTTTGTCACTCTCAGAGCCTTCATATTTCTTGGGAAGTTTGAAGGCCCCCAGCACTACAGCATGAATTTCACAGAAAAGCATAGACTTCATGCAAAAAGACAATTTCTTTCTATTGCGTAGTGAGATTTTGCAATAGGAAATTTAGAAAACAAAATAGATAGGTACTTAATAAAAGAATAATTTAGTTTAAAATATTTATATAAAAAAGTAAAAGTACTCAATTAATTTTTATCAGCTTTAGTTTTCAGCCCAAAGATCAAAATTTGGCATAAGGAGCTTGGCAGATAGTTTTCCTTCCCACTCAAGGGTTCCAAAAGGGGGGAAAATAAACATTAACCGCACCCTTAATTTTATGCTTGAGAAAACTGAACTAAAGAAGTATTTAGTCACTTTCCCATGCCAGGAAGCAAGTAACAGATTTGAAGACAAAACTTCAACTTCCAGCTGAAAGTATTTTTGTTGAAGCACAAATAGCTGTGCATTGCAGATGGAAATTTTTGTGGCAACGTTGTCAATTCAAATATTTTGTAGTCTTACATAACCAGAGCCAATTACTATAAAATTAGGGAAAGCGACTCCAGCTCCCTGTTCATTACTGCAAGCTTCAAAGAAGTAAGCTGTATCAGCTTTTGGATGATTTGAGCAGTAAAATGCAGTAACTGGGGCAACACTACAGTGTGCGCACGCTGTGAGCCAGTGGCACGGCAGACGGGACACTGCCACCTCCTGGGTGCCTTCTGCTGGGAATGCTGATCCCGCATAAAACCAAAACTGCCCTTTAAAGTTAAAACCGTCATGCTCTTGCAGAGGAACCCTGCCTAAGCCGCGCGGGTTTTGTGTTTAACCTTCCCTGTGTGAAACAGGGATGTCAGAGACGCAGCAGCCCAGCGCCCTGCCATGGGCTGCAAACAGATCGCCGGTTCAGAGCCCCTCGTGTTGACACTGTGGCAAATGCTTCCTATTTGTCACTGACAAAAACCGCTCTGATGTATTGCTGTAGACCACAAAGTTTGTTTTGAAAAGATTCTGCTGCTGGTTTTCATCCAATTTTCCCTATGTTTTTCAGCTCAATGCAATGGCAAACAGAGCAGCAGGGAAGGGATATGAAAATGAAGACAACTACTCCAACATCAAGTTTCAATTCATAGGCATTGAGAACATCCATGTTATGAGAAATAGTCTGCAGAAAATGCTTGAAGGTAATATTCATTGGAAACTTCATTGGAAACTAGAGGAAAATAATTGATCCTTCTGTCACAGAAATCAGAATAACTGCTCTGAAATCAGCAGCAGTGAAAAAGAGTATGGAAAGCAATCTTTATCTATTGCAGCTGCATGCCTCCTGCTGGCTAATGGGACTTGTGCAATGGAGCATCATGGCAAATACTGGTTGGTGATTTCTTAATTGTGAAAACACCTTGGTCCTGGCTGAAATCCAGGTATCATTTAATGACAAAATTAATTTTAATTCTGTACACCTTACTGCTGCTATGTCTTTTTTTGAAATTTACATTTTGATGGTGAAATGAAAAAAAATCCCTTATTGCTGACTTTGAAGCTAGTGGAAAATACCAGTTGGTTTTTTTTAAAGCTCAGAAAAACTATGGTGGGATTTTCATATAAGGTAGTCATGCATTTTAGACTGTGAATTTTAGCAGAAACTTAATTCATGCTTGCATAGAACATATCACATCAAGTCTAGTAATGAAATTTACAGTCAATGAATGTAACAATTCATCACCTTCAATATCCCATGGAAATGAATACCATTTGCTTTATAAATACTTAGCAGTATATAAACCAGCAAAGCTGTTCTGCCATTTCGTATTTGCAGTACATAACTGTTTAGAGGTCATCTGGGAAAAGAGCAAGGATAAATAAGCCATCCTTGATTTTTAACAAGCAAATAGGAAATAGCACTTCCTTCACCATGTCTCCATATTGACTTCATGTGCATCAACATCAACTACCACCACCTCCTGGATCAACTTCATTTATCTTATTCTTGACTTGATGCTCTGCCCATGCTCTTTTACTCTTCATCTGTCTCCCACTGAGTGCACGCAAATGTAAATTTGAAATCTAAGAAGGGCTTAAATTTTCCATGATTGGGAAGCCATGCTCTATTTTCAAATTAGAGCATTTTATGGAAACCAGCATTAACCTGTGATGCAGGTAAAATATCTATTCATGAGAGTTTTCTTGGTCTAAGGGTCTCAGGTAGGAAAACAGAAACATTTTTTGTTCACTAGGAAGTCTTGTTTGGCTAGGAGAAAGGTTGGATGAGTAAACAAGTCCCTTTATTTGTTCAACTCAAGACTATCAATGTTAAAATAGTAAACAACCAGTCTGGCTGCACTGGCAGTACTGTGCATAATTTTTGAGCCAAAAGTTCATGAGACTGGCCCACGGCCCAAACTTGCATGTAACAAGGTAATTTCTAATGTATTTAACACTTCAGGCTTAGAGGGCACAAATTCTTAGCATCTATTTTCAAATAAGCTGTATGGTTAAAACATCTGCTTATTTACTGGGTTTTATATTTGCTGTGTTGAAATCTCTCATGTAGCAACTTGACTGATAAGATTAGAAATCAGAAAAGTTAAGGATTCTTCTTTTTAAAAGAAAAATCTTATGACTTTCAGTGTACTAGGGCTTTCCTTATATGAGATGCTATGTAATTTTTATCTTTTTCCATTTTTACATGTCTCTTAATCTGTTTTTCTAGTGACCTTTTACCTGACTTGAGCATACAAAGAGACCTAGAACCAAAAAGGCTGTCAAGGATTATGATAACACACATTTAATATGGCTTTAAATTTTTATCAATTAATACCTCAGTAATACATCAATAATTATCAATGAGTGATGTATTATAAATATAAATTTAAATTTAAGTAGAAATAGAAATATAGAAATAATTAAAAGAATACATAAATAAGATAGCAATATCACTGTACCTAAGTGAATCCTAAGTAAAACATCACTTCTCTTTACAGAATGGGTCTGCTGCTCATGATCTGTAGTAAGGCTTTATAAGGTGCATAAAAACCTTTGAAAAGACGAATTAGGCTGATGAAAACTGATTTTAGTTTAATATGAGCTGTATTGCTGCTTGGAAGTATGCAGCATGAAAAGAGGACATCAAGGTATAGTTGGCCAGATGTGTTGCTGAAATGCAAGGCCAGTTTCACTCAATTTACTGGTGCTAAGCAGAAGTGAGGAGCAGAGGATCTTCACATGCCAGACTGCAGATTATTTTCAATATAGAATTTTAAATAACTTCCAATGCTAAGAAAATGTGAAAAAAAAAAAATAGTATTCAGTTTTCCATTAGAAAATGAATGTACATTAGGAATGTATTCATTTAATTATTCATTTTTTTGTGGGGGGGAAAGCTGAGGAAATAAATTTGTACTTATAAAAATATCAGTATTTTATTTGAGTAAGTAAAAAATTGGTTTCAGCTTTGTGATTTTGCTGACTTTATTTCAAGACAATTTATCTTATTTTAACATGTATTTACCCTGGTATAATGTTGATTTTTGGCTAATTATACCAGCATTATAAAATGATTAAATTTTTAGAATAAGATTGTTTTTCAGCATATGCAAAAAATGTTGAGGTTTGACTGTACTGTGGAAGTGAAATGCATTTCAACATGATGGAATTTCCTTGCCAAAAAAAAAAAAAAAAAAAAAAAAAAAAGTTTGGTGGTCTGCTGCTTGTAGTACAGTATGGATTTTTATTTTTCTCCATTTATAGATGGGTCTGTGTGAAGAACCTTGAGATAATTTTGATCCTGTGCGCAAACTTCCTTGAAACAATTTTTACCATTAGAAGGACATTACACAGGGACTTTTCTTGGTGAAGATCCAAGGTCTGCCTGAGGCTGCTGTTTGGCATTTGGGCTGGGGTGGGCTGTGCTGCACATCCAGGGGCCAGCTGAGACCTGGCTCCCATGTGTTGTGCGCTGTGGCGATGGCCCCACATGCTCCCTGTCTGTATTTAAACAGCAAATATGAGCTTCTCCTCCCCTCATACCAGGAGCAGCACTTGCTGATGGAGGAGCAGCCCTCTGGTCCTTGGACTTCTGTGACAGATCAGGCAGTGAGAACCCAGTGGGTTTGGCCCACAGTAACCATTCCTTCCTCTACTTATGGCTGTCCTGCCAGGAATGGGGGGACTAGTCCAGCACACCCCTCTGGTACTTTTGGTGGTGCAAGAGGCAGTCTGCAACATGTGCCCTTTTCCTTCCTCCCATTCTGAGACTTGGGTGCATGGCTGGAATTCTCAGAGCTCTGCCCATTGGCTCTTGATTTTCCTGTGCATACACTGTGCATGAAGCAGCCCATATTTCTCAAAGATTTTGATACCTTTTCTGCTGAGATGGAAATGCCCTTTCCCTTTAGGATAAGCCTCATAACTGAATTCATAATTGAACTCAGTATTAAGGTCCAGATTGGTTGCCAAAGTCATGTGAAATATACAGGGTATGCATTTAGGACAGTATGAACTTTGCTCAGTGAAGTGGTCAGTAAATATTGACTCCAATTTGGGAGTGGGAATGAGCAAAGCACTGTTTCAGCCTTACCTTGGGCTTTTGTAAACAGACACAGCAGCTTCAGCCAGCATTCAGCCGCTAATTGGTCATGCTTCCATCTGCACAGAAACATTAATCATGTGAAAAGCTGTTTGCTTTCAGTGCTGCTATCTCTGCATCTTTAAAAATATCCACCAAAAATTACTTTAAAAATAACCATCTGGAAGGGGTCTTACATATAAACATTGCAAGACTGTATGAACACATTAGGCTATTTTGCTTCTGAACTAAATGGAGTTAGGACAGTCAGATAGTTCAGATATGGTATAAACTCTGTCTTTGGCTTGTAAAATTAAATTTCAATTACGCTGAAGGAAAATAAAGCTATGCCAGGGGCCACAGTGGCCATAAATAACTGAGTCTTTTAAGATTTCCAGACCACAAGAGACTTACTAAGACATTAGTAATTGACAGATCATACATCAACCAGTAAAAGCCATGATGTTTTTCACTGTACTCTGAAAATTAATTTCACTGGCTAATATATTTTTTCTTTAAAAGACAGTATAACTCTACATGGATCAAAATAAAGATGTAGTCTATTTATGGGGTGATTTTAGCATCTTACTGTTGAAAACAGATTGCACCAAATTTCATTCAGTATGTGTTCTGCTGGATTGAGGTAACTTATTTAGATTCTGATTTCTTTTTTTCTTTTGATGCCACAAACTCTTTATTATTAAAATGTAGACACTTGGATACAGCAGAATAGGAACTTAGAGTAAAAACTGAGTGGTTTTTTTTTTTTCCTTCAAGTGTGGCATAAAGTTTGGAAGATTTTCAGGAAAATATCTTCCTTGATGGATTATGTCCTGTCCTCGCCATCAGGAGGAAAAGTGAAGCTTTTTGACTCCAAGTGAAGCCTTAATGAGGTTTAATTCAGGGATGGAGAAATGTGGAGTGAACCACTTTAACTAACCACCATCATCTGTGGTGATGCTGGGAGTAGGAGGCAGTAGAACCATTTAGGTGTCTATCTGCCTGTCCAACAGCAGAAATCAAATGCTGTTTCCAAGCCCTCATCATCAAATACATTAACACCTCCTAGGGATTTGAAAACTTCACTCCCAACACAATTTTGGAAAATACACGCTTCAGAGAAGGATGGATTTGGATTTGCTTGTAATAGGCTTTATGACAGCTTCTCTTTTTAAATTAAATCAGCATATTGGGTGAAATTTGACCCAGCCCCATTTCTCAAATACATGTGTTTCTCAAAGGTTAAATTTGACAGAGATGTAGTATTTCTTTTCAAAACATGCATGTTTTACACAGTGGATATCTGAAGAAGAGATAACTCCAAGGCTGAACAGTCAAAGAAGCTTAAGGGACTCTAATTACTATACATTTAGAATGTATCTTACTTTGCAGTTTGTGAGCTGAAATCACCTTCAATGAGTGACTTTCTGTGGGGCCTAGAAAATTCTGGCTGGCTGAAGCACATCAAAGCCATTATGGACGCTGGCATCTTTATTGCAAAGGTAAAGTATGTAAAATGAGAACAAAACTCAGAGTAACCAGATACAGAAAATGAGGACCAAATTCTCTGCTTATGGGTAACTTCTGTTATCTCTTCAGTGATGTTATACCTGAAAAAAGCCCACTGCAAGGTGTGCTTTTGTGTATGAGGAGAGATGATTCTTAGGTGCTGTTATGTGGACGTTTTTCTAAAATAGTTAACAAAATCTTGTGTTCTTTTGTGCTGAATCCTCTACTAGCCTATGTCTTGTTATGTCAGGCATTTGAATGTCCTTAACTTTACTCCCCAACAGTGACTGTTTCTTTCCCTATTTGCCCTGCCTCCTCCACTGGTTTCTGGACATTTTCTTTGTGGAAGTGGTAGTTGTAATAGATACATATTGCTATATAAAATGTATAATACATTATGTTACACACAATATATAGCTACTATGTTATCCCCTCTGAGGTATGAGGCAACCAACAAAATTCACCTCTTGAGCCAATTACCATGGCCAAACTCTCTAGCAGCTTCTACTTTTATATACTTGAGAATTCTTCCAGAAAACAGTTTTGGCTTTAATAAGAAATTATTTTCCCTACTCCCCCACAAAGTAATGTAGACATTTGTCATCTGCTAGCAATTTTGTTGCCCCCAACCTTGTGTTCTGTCGTTTACTGCTTCAATTCTTATTTTTGAGATTACAGTTTCTTATTGGCTGTTTTATTCACGTGACCTACTGCCCACAGCTATACAGATAAAACTTCATGGGTTTCCCTCCTAACTGCTTGTTTCTCTTGCATTGCTTCTTCCTTCTCAGTAGGCAACTGTAGTTTTTTACCTGAACAGCAACTGTGCAATAAATACATGTATTATTACTCCCAGACCTACTACTTTTCATTAGCTCATAGAAATAAGGTCATTTACACAAGCTTTGCCAGTTTTTCCCCAGTCTTAGTATCCTTTGTGCATATGCTTGCTAGCTAGTGCCTTCTCAGACATGCATTTTGACCCATTCTTATTTGTACAGTTCTCAGTTCTCAATTCCTGGTCTTCTGCCCACAGGGGTTCTATTTTTGTCTCTTGAGATAAACATAGATAATTTATTATTATTCCTCATTCCCTATTAAGCCCAAAATTAACCTAAATGTTTTTCCTTTTTTTCCCCTAACAGTATTTTTCCTATCCTACTCTTATTTTCTACTTGCTAAATTCAATTCTCTTTAGAAATGACAAAGGCCAAAACCCTTAGAATTAAAAAAAACCCGACACCAGCCCTCAAGTTCTAAAACCAATACAACAACAGACTCTGGAGAACTCAGTACAATTTCTTCTTGATGTGTTTATGTATAAACTGGAATCCTCTCTCCCCGATTATTACATTAAAGATACTAATAAAATCTTGCTTATTAAACGTGGAAGTTTCCCACTACCACAGGCTTCCCCAGAAGCCTTTACAGCACATCACCAGTGCAATGCAGTGTGCTGCAATAATGTCCAGGCTAGTGATGGCACTGGAAACAGACACTGCCCTTAATGACATTACCATCAAGATGAAAAATTAAGAGCCATGTTGCAAGTATGGCTGTGCTTTTAGTGGCATGAGATGTGTTGGAGCATTTGAATCTGCTGTAGGTAGTTGTCTGCTCTGACAGATGGATGTATTTTGACTGAAATGAGTTCCACATCTTCCTGTAGTGGAGCATAAACAGGTAATTCTCAACTACCATATTGCACAGCCTGGGGTGAATTAAAACTTTTCAAATTAGAGTAATAACATGATTCTCAAATGAGACAAATAACACTCAACTTATTTAAGAACTCGGTGGTAGAGTAAAAAATGAATGAGCTTTCCCAGTTCCCAAATTAATACTCTCTATGGCTCTTGTCTCACTGTTTCTCTCTTGCCATTGTCTTCCTCCCTGCTTTTGAACTTTCTGACTTTTTCTGTATCCTTAGGCTGTGGCTGAGGAAGGTGTGAGTGTGCTTGTTCACTGCTCTGATGGCTGGGATAGGACAGCCCAGGTTTGCTCTGTAGCAAGCCTTCTATTGGATCCATATTACAGAACTATGAAAGGATTCATGGTAAGCAGGTTCTTTCACAGAGTAAATGAAGTAGTATGGCATCACTTCAGATGAATATCTTTGTTTTAAATAGGAAACTGTCCATAAATATACCCTTTTGTTTTGTTTTGTTTTATTTTTTTAAGTAGGAGGGAAGGCTTCTATATGTTCATGTTAAAGTCTCCCAATCTCTCTATGAAGCAGTATATGAAGGTGGGGATCAGTTGGTCACCTATGTTTGTTGTTTTGTTTTTTTTTCCTAACTTTGACTGAGAAACTTTCTCACAGCCCAAAGAGCTTTTGTGAAAGCAAGAATTTGTACTCATTTGAAATGAACATTTTAATTTTGAGTGTCAGAAGTGTGTCTTTTCTAGACACTAGATCGCAATGAGCAACTGTATTGGAAAATCTGTTCTTTTCCCAGATCAATCAGCAGTAGTAAAGCATCTAGAAGTGGTTATCAAGTTACTGGTCACATGTTAAAAGGATGTTTGAGACATTTATATGTTCTATTTTAGAAAGCAATGAAACAAGATATTTGAAGTTGTGATGAAATACTGGCACTCTCTCTGCATCCCTGAAGAGTGCTGTTTCCCTGAGCTGGCAAGCAATGCTCATTACTTTTCTGCCAATTCTGAAAATTATTTGGGATTCTAATATTGCTTGCTTACATCGTTCTTGCTTGCCACTTTTCTGGTCATTCTAAGAATTAACTGGGATTCCAACACTTGTTTACACCACCCTTCTGCCTGCTTCAACATGTCAGCTCCACTCCACAACATTGAATGCAATATTCTCATTTTAGGTGTTAATTGAAAAAGACTGGATTTCCTTTGGCCACAAATTTAACCACAGGTAAGGCAGTGCTAAGGTTTTCTTCTCTTTATATGTATGTGTTTATGTAGTCTGTATCTGCTGCCATTCCAGTTCTTCTTTGTTGCTGCCTTACAAAACACAGCAACAGAATGCCCCAGGAAACTGCCACACCCTCTTCTCCAACTATATAATTTAGCTGCCTGGAAAAGTCAGAGTGAAATATTTCTATACATGCACTCCAAAACTACCAAGGGGAGTCCTGCGTGCTGCTGTTGCAGCTGCAATGGGCACTGAGAGGTCCATGTGAGTAGTGTGTATCTGCCTTGCAAAATCCCTTTGGACTCCAGCCGACCTCCTAGGAGTGCCAAGGCCCCCCACATAAGTCTCCGTTCATCAAAGGGACTTCTACATCATCCAAGGCATTACTTAGTCTTAGGCATGTCTGTGAGTTACCTATTACCTAAAATATACTCTTTCTGTTACAGTTTGTTCTAAAAAACCCAGCAAGATCTGCTCAGAAATGTCAGGCAAAGTGGAAAGTCATCTATTTGAACAAGTTGTTTTGAACATCGATCCAATGTAAATGCTATAATGTAATGAAAAGTGTTTGAAGACTTAATATATTTAAACATGGATAGATTTTCACATTTTCTTTCTTTCATGACTTCACTTCTATTTTCTGTAAAAATTAAAAATGTTATTTTTATATTGGGGTTTAATTACATTATATTGCTTGACTTGAATACAAATTTGTATTAAAAACCAACAAAACTCAGAAAATCTGTGCATCTTCGCAGCACCTGTGAAATTCCATAGGATTTACCACAGTTCATATGATACTGTCAGTTTTTTGTGATTATCAGTGGCAAAAGCTATTATGAAATGCAATAACCACTGATAGCTTTGGTTTGCTGTGCAATATTGCTGTATTTTCTTTGATAGTAATAGAAGCTTCAATTTTAGATATTTATAAAATTCTACTCTTCGGCATGTGTAAACATAAATGCACATACATCCCCCCCAACCCCCTCCCCCACCCCAGGAGAACAATTGATTGAAAATGCTCCTTCCTATTATATAGACTTACAAAATACCTTTTACTTCCATGTGTATTTTATTTTGTCTCCTTTTCTTCATTGGAAGTGGTTTCAAGAGGCATTTTTATACACAGAAAGTTTCACATTCACTTGATAGTCACAGTAGCATGTAAACATTTCCCACTTCCTAGAAATTTCACCAAGAGAGGGAAGCTTTAACCTGTTTTCTGCTGAGGTTGTAATGAGAGCAGGTAGCTCTCCTGCTCGGTTTTCTGGTTTGGGAATAATCTACTATTAAGAAACTGCCTTCACGCACACTTTTGTCATTAAGTCATTGCACCCATTCTTCTGATAACTTACGTTAACAGGGTAAAATTTACACTGATAGCATTAAAACGTGGCTATGCAGCAGCCAGCTTTTTGTAGCTATAATATAACAAGACACTCAATAAGAGGCTTTTTTCTTTGTAATTCTGCTCCCATTCTACTTCATGATTCTTGCATCATTTTTGTAAGTAAAAATGTAGTAATACTTGAGATTTTAGAAATTAATGCCTGTGATATACCTTGCACACTAAAATTTAGGGGTTTGTTTTCCTTAGAGTTAATTCAGGTTTCTTACAGGATTTCAGGTTATAATTGGATGTATCTTGTCTTGTTTCAGGTATGGCAACTTAGATGGAGATCCAAAGGAGATATCGCCTGTTATTGACCAGTTCATCGAATGTGTTTGGCAGTTAATGGAACAGTTTCCTTGTGCCTTTGAATTCAATGAAAGATTCCTCATCCACATACAGCATCACATCTATTCTTGCCAGTTTGGGAATTTCCTGTGTAACAGCCAGAAGGAGAGAAGAGAGCTGAAGTATGAAAATATTTTCTTTAGTAGCATATTTATGCGTGGGGTCTGTGGCTGGTGGTGTATTGAGCAGTCAGACATTCTCCAGTTTGAATGCATGTGTTTCATAAGGCACAGGGTGCCTGTTGTCTTCTGGCAACACAGATTAATACCAAAAAAAGTTGATCCTCTGCAGTGTAGCTGTGCTGGGAGCATAATCCATAGTGTATGTGACAGGGATTAGTGAAAATTGACAAGAGCATTATGCCTTCGGCCATGTGGGCCTGCCTTTACTGCTGCCCTGACAAAATACAAGGCAAGCTGGCCCTGTAGCTCCAGTATGAAATGATAATAACTCTAGTTAAGTTCTCAGTTTAAAAGTTACTGCTCCTCTGTGTTTTAACCTGTCTTTGGATCTCATGTCAGGACATTTTAGCCCTGCCCTCTTAGGTACTTCCTTATGAACAGCCTTTTTGTCTAGTAGCCCTCCCTTGGACTGAGTCAGCAGAGTGTCCTCCTGCTGACCAGCTCCAAAGCAATTATGAATTAATCTACCTGCCTTGAGGCCCAAACAAAGACAATATCATCATTCCTGGCAGTGCTCATGTTTGTTTCTGCTTCCCAGGGCTCTGGGTCCTTGATGCATGATGATATCCATTGCTTTCCTCAAGCAGGCTGATGATGTCAGCAGTAGCAATGAGAGGAGGTGCTGGTTACTGCTGGCTGATGCCATTTGGTCCCTTTCACTGCTCAGATGCAGAGCAGCCACAGTGAACATCCATTTTAAATCCAAACCTTCACAGATCACCACATCTCATGACCTAACTGTAAGAAATTGCAGCTCAGTGGGATAGGAGTGCTTTTAATTGTGGGGATCCCTGTGGTGCAGAGATCTGTCTGAAAGCTCAATTTATGGAAATGATCCTCTCCACCTCACAAAGGAACCAGTCTCTCCACCTATTCACTCTAGCTGGTTTTGCTTTATGGGAAACGGACCAGGTTTTACTTTTAGTGACCTACAAGGGAATATGGGTCTCTATTTCTCTATGTTTGTAACTTAAGTCTAATTCTGTTAAGGAAGCTGATTGTAAACTGGAAATATGGAGGACAAGAATGCTGCATCTAAGCTTTAGCTATCCCTGAATTGTAATAGAGGCTTTAATATATTTTTATTTAATGTATTCTTTTTCAGAATCAAAGAACGAACGTATTCATTGTGGGCTCACTTGTGGAAAAATCGTGCTGATTACCTGAATCCTTTATACAGGTCAGACCACAGTCAAACCCAAGGGACCCTGCACCCACAGATAGCTCCATGCAACTTCTTGTACAAGTAGGTAGTATCACTTGCTGCTGGGAGTTGTAGTATGGGTTAGCACAGGACAGAATGCCTTTGTATATAAGTATTTCTTGTTCTGTAAGGCTGTTTATACAGAGTAAATTCAGTCTCAGACGCAGTATGTTTGTTCCTTGTGTGCTCATAGTCAGCCAACACCTCTGCACCATTCCACAACAGAGTATTAGTCTGAAAAGAAGATTAAGATTAAAGCTATATTGATAGTTGTGTGTCCTAGTTTCAAGGTTGCTCACTTCTTCCACTGAGAAATGCCTCTTTCAGTCCTGGTGTCATCTGTTGTTTCTAAATTTACAGTTGCTTTAACTTCTTCCATTCTGAGATTTTGTGATGTTAGTTTAGATCAATTGGTGTCAAAAATAAAAAGCATATTTTCAAGAAACCATATGATGTCATTGCTAAAACAAGTATTTTGTAAAAAAACCCCAGACTTTGTCTATGTTGTTATATCAAGTAAAACAAAGTTAAGTTTCTCCTGATATTTCTTCAAAATATAACAAAATACCATCACTTCAGAAATGTTACTGTTGACATTCTGAGTTAATTAATTGTGCCATTAGTCTTAACATACTTTGGGAGAACTTAAATAGAAATCCATTAAAACTGTCATTTAAGTAAAACTGATCAGTTTCTTCTTCAGTTGCAAGTAATAGCACCTGTTAAAAAGTCAATAAAAATCCTAAATGACAGAAATTGAATTCTTTCATGTCTACTATACCAGGTCACATCCACTTTAAAACAATTTAAAAATAGTCATTAATCGTATTCTTTGGGATAGTGGGATTTATAAAGGAAGTACTGATACAGCAGATCCTCCAATGGATAAGTAATCCTGTTGATTTTAATCAAATTACTTGGGTGCGTAAAGTTTTCCAAGCATGAGCTATCAGATGATAAACTTAAGGGGGAATGTGATTTAAATAGTATACTATTGGGATAGGAATAATAATCCACCAAGCAGCATGCACGTGCTCCAAAAATATCTGTCAGCTCCTTGGCCAGACAGCTGCAGCTGACAGCAGGGCTCGGCTACTTAACCTGTCTGGTGAACTGGTTACACACTCAGGGCCTGCCTGTGGCCCTACTGCCAGCAAGGCAGGAGGAGCGCCAGAGCAACACAGAATTTCAAAGCTGAGTTCATGGGAAATTGAACAACAGTTGAGAATTATGAATATGAAAAACTGCCTTTACCATTGGCTATTTTATAGGTACAACTTTTATATTGCTCTAAAGCCCATAGTGTAGGACAAGAAAATAATACCAAAAAAAAAAGCATGAAAAATCTTGCATTCAGCAAACCCTTTTCAATTGTGATCTAAACTACATTCACCTTTCTTTCTACTGTCTATCAAAATTAGTTTGAGCTGCTTATGTCCAGCTGCCTATGAGTTGCACCTTCAGGATGGAGGAAATGCAAATTAACCTTGCTAAACAGTATGAACTTATGTGTATACACTCTAATGATGAATAAGCTTGGATAGATAATTTAGAACAATATGTGTCTGGGGAAAGAAAAAAAAAAAAAAAGATGTGCATTTAAGTCTCATGAGACTACTTCACCAAATGGGAAAATTCCTGACGTTGCCATCAATTCCAGGTTCTGGAGTGGTATGTACAACCGCTTTGAAAAGGGGCTGCATCCTCGACAGTCAGTTACTGATTATCTAATGGCAGTGAAGGAAGAAACTCAGCAGCTGGAAGAAGAGCTGGAAGTCTTGCAAGAGGTAATAAGCAGCTGAGCTTGATACCCCAGACTTGGTAACTGATGATAAATGAAACCCAGCTCCACATGATGCAGAATCCCCTCCACACTACCTTTTCTGGAAGGAGGATGTTCAGCCATCATCTTTGTTCTCAGATAAATTATTGTGAATGTTTTGCATTTAAGACACAAAAATGGACTGTTTTTTTTTTAAGGATAAAATTTTACCTGTGTTGATGCACAAGTACTACTGAAAGTAAGTTTAATCCTTCTGTAACTCAGAGGGAATTGTAGCTGAAGAAAAATGCTGTAATTCAGCATTGGTGTGTGACAAATTGTGCACTTCTCATACTCCATAAATGCAAATAGTCAGTTTTAAAGGGTGGGTTGGGCTCTGGAAGTTTATTTAAAAAGAAAAAAACCCAAGGATATATAAAAGGATTTCTGGGCCCTACATGTGTCCACATGATAAATCCTATTTCCTTTATTTCAGAGATTGGCAAATCTTCAGAAATCACAATCAGGTAATAATAAAGTGAAGAGTAAGCAACAAGATCGAAGCAAACAGTTTGGACTGTATACCTCCAACAACAGCTTAGCTAATACTCCCCAGGAGTATAGCAATGATCTGAAATCATTCCCATCCCGGAGCCCTTCTCAAGGGGATGAAGATTCTGCCCTGATTTTGACACAGGACAACCTGAAAAGCTCTGATCCTGACCTCTCAGCCAACAGTGACCAGGAGTCTGGTGTGGAGGACTTAAGCTGTAGGTCCCCAAGTGGGGGTGGCTGCTTCCCTAGTGAAGACAGTGGCAAGGACTCTGACGAAGCTGTATTTCTGGCAGGCTGAAATACCTGCATGGCAGCAAGGATCCAGATGATGTAAAACCTTACACAGTCTGGAATGACATCTTTTCATCAGATGAAGAATGGAGGTAGTCTGTGGCCTACAGAAATAATCCAAAGAAAGGGAACTGTGCAATTGTGTAAGTTAAGATCCAAGCAGAACAAGTTACTGTTAATTTTAAGACATTGCACTAAAGAAAGGTAGTATCTGCTGTTATATTTCATTAAGCCAATATGGTGGTTGTTTTATCAATGCTGTACATAATTATTCCTTACTTTGTACATTTCCATAGTTATTTATTGGACAGGATAATAGTTCTTTTCCTAAGATGTGAAATTCCAAAGTACTCTCTTACACAAGGCTGAAGATGCATTACTGTTAGCCTCACTGGTGAATCAGTCAAAACTTATTTTTGTAGAGCTCATTTGCCTTCAGACATATAATGGATATTCTTCACTTTTTTTCTTCCCAAGAGGTTAGAAGAATTATTTTTCATATTCTCCTACTAATCTTCTTTACAGCAAAGTAAAATAAATGGACACCCTGGCTCAGAGGACAAGGATTTTTTTGATCCTGAAAAAAACAAAACCATTAATAAGCAGTTGCTGCTGCTGCATCTGAATGCATCTCATTTGTACTCAATTCTCATCCAGTGTTGAAAGTTCAGTAGATTCTGTGACCAAAACTTCAAGGAATGTAACAAGCTCACACAACCTTTGTGCTAAAACCCCCCTTTGTAACAAAAGGCACACGAGGCAGTTTACTCTTGCTACTTTATGTTTTGTTATTGTTTGCTTATATCTTACCCTTGTTCCAAACCACCTACATAAGATATAAAGGTAAAAATTTGAAGGTGATAAAATCCCTGATTCTTCAGCCTATTTTCCTACTCAAAAATGTTTTATTTGAGTGGGAGTGAGGTACAGACACAGTCGAGAGAATAGGGAATATAGAATCACTTACAGAAATCACTTAAAAAAACATCACTCTGAATCAGTAAGTAAATGAAAGCTATGCCCACAAAGGAACCGTTACAGAGAACATTTCTTCCAAATTTTGTTATTAAAAATAAACTAAGCATAACCAACTGGTGTTTTTTATCCTCACACAAAACTTCCCTTTTAGCATTTGCCAACCTGAACAGAGCATGGCAATACTAATTTAAGAAAAGGACTGATTCACTATTCATCAGAAAGTTTAATCTCATTTAAGAATTCAGATATTTTTAAGACTAGGAGTAAGAATAGTTTTCATAATCAGCAATTCAGAAGTAAGCAACTGAAAAATGTTCAAAATTTGGAATGTCTTGAAACTCATTAAAAAAGTAGCCAGCCATATTAGGCTGCAACTCTTTCAAGTTTTGGTTTTTTAAAATTTTATTTAAAGCCACCAGTTAAAAACATAATTCATATGGCTGCTTTTACGTGCTCGAAGACAGTGCAGAATTGAACTCTAGTAGAGCAAAGTGGTAGTAATGTAAGTTTACTTAGATTGCATTTCACACTACTCCTTCAAGTACAGACCTACAGAAAGAACTGTATTATATAAATATACCTCAATTTAGAACCATTAGATTTTATTATTCAGTCTGCTTTTCTGGAATGGCTTTTCATTCTGTTCTGTGAACATGTTATTAAAAGTGAATAGGTAAACTTCAGTATTATTACTATTCTCTGAAGGGAGCTGCTGTCTTTGAACAAATAATTCTTAACAGCAAGGTTTATCTTAATGTTACATTGGAAAGGCCAGATTCTCAATTTGATAAATCGCTGTAGCTCATTCAAATAAAAACAACAATAAATTATATTCTGTTGAGAATCTAGCCTTCTGGTTTTTAATCTTTATGAACTTTTAATAAATTAAAGCCCTGATTTTAACTGCGCTTTTAAAAGTGTTTTGTATTTTGAACATAGCCTGTAAACTTTATGGTATTAAAGGAAACTTTGACTGGGTTTTCTCAAACTAAAGAAACATGCTGCAAAGTCACAATGAAAACAAAACAAAATATTCTGCCAAAAAATCAGTCTGAAAATGGGCAATGTTATTGTACATATTTAAAATGTAAAATTGTATATGATGACATTGTGTTCGACTAGACATGTATAGAAATAAATGCAGAAGAGCGAGATATGCAAATTCAAAGCACTGTCTTTGTGTTGCTTATGCAACTAGTTGTAACTAACTTTACAACTAAAATATTAACATACTAACATTTTCTTTACTGAGCCTTCACTTAGCAGCCCTCTGTGATGTGTCTTTTAGTCCTTGGAGTTTTGCATTAACTATTGCTTACATTGTACTGTATGTATTTGTGGCATTATCAGGCTAATGAGAAATACCTTCAAATAAACACTTAGATGTTATGAAATGTTATTTCACACCAGAGAATGAAACAAAGGATTGCTTTCCTGATTTTTTAAATAGAGTTCTTCATTTACTCAAGAGTCACTTTGTCACTGAGATCAAGGGATTCTTGTATCTCCCCTACTCTCATACTTGAATCCAGTAGCTGCAGTTGTGGAGGAATCTACAACTGATAACTAAAAACATTGAGACTGTCATCAACAGTGTTAATTGTATCGGAGCATGTTATACCCCTGTATTTCTTTTTTTTTTAAGGAAAAAAAAAAGATGAAAAGATTTCTCTATTAACTACATTATTTTCTTGTAGCTTTGCTGCAAATCTTTGCAAATTTGGCCCATTGCAATAAGCCCACTGTAATTTGAAATAGGACACAGATGAATGTGACTAGACTGCTGAAAGACCTCACTAGATTCAGGCTGCTCTTTAGTATCAAACAGCTGAAGCCTCCTTTACAGAACATCACCATGTAAAGCACAGAAGGAAAACTATTTGCCAGCTGCTTTTATTGGTAACTCTATACAAGAAACAAATGTGGTAAACTGATAATGGATTCTAAAAAGCAGAGAAATTAATTAGTTGGGGGACACAACAACACGGTATCATCAAAAAGAAAAAAAGGAGAAACAGAAAGTAAAAGGAGGAAGGCAGGGAAGGAAAGCTCTTTGTAAAATCAGCAAGTAAGGCAGGGAACCACATTCTTTGAAGACAGAGGCAAGCCAGGGCATGGGTTCACAGCAGGAGAGATATTTAATGACACAAACCAACAATAAAACTGCAGCAACAAAATGGGATAGCCTTTGCAATGGAGGTAAGAATGTCATCACTGTTGACCAGCTAACTTAATGCTTTTATGTGGACACTGCCCTGAACTGCATACAAGAGTTCTCAAGTACACCACAAACATAGCCAAGGCCAGGGGCTGCTTCTGGGTGCAGCTGATGGCTGAGTGCAGCTTTTAGGCTGGCTGGTCACCCTTACACTGCAGTGCAGACAGGTAAATACCACAGTGACTGAAAAATCCTCCAAGGACAGGTAAGTTGCTGACAATTCATTTGGGAAGGCAGGAACATGTGCCGGATGAGTTTGAAGTAGGTCAGCTTATGACAGTACTAAGACACATGAAAAACATGCCAAAGATCTAGAGCCAAATGTACTGCAAACCCTGAATTCAGAGAGGTGCCAGAGTGCAGGCATGAGAAGATAAAATAAACATTCAAATTTACTTATATTATTTAAATTGCCAGTAAAGCACCTGAAACCAGCAAATCAAATAATGTTAAATGTTAAAGGGTACTAGTCTTTTAATATAAATCACTCTGTAAAGAAGCTAATGAAACCTTACAGGTCCACCAGAAAAACAACTGAACTCAGACAGGGACTAAGTTTGTTGCTAAGGTTATTCAGATAAATTTATTCTGTTTCTGAAGACTAAACAATACAGTTCTTTATATTGAGGTATTCCCTTGTTATTGAAATATAGGCTCTCTTTATACTTATTACTTATTATTACTACACAGAAATGTGACATCTACAGGTATCTGACCAAAACAAGGCATTTTCAAAAGCCAGAGATGGAATACAGGTTTTTAAGGCCCATTTTAGTGCAGGTAGCTCCAAGAATTACTGCTGTTTAAATGGTTGAACAGGAAAAGCTCAAACCACTGCACATGAAGATAAAAAAGTTTGTCCTTGAGTATTGTACTGCATCCACTTCCAACACAATTCTGTATTCACTCAAAAAGTCCTGCAATTTCCAACTGTATCTGTAAGTTATAAGACTACAAGATATATTAAAATCCTAAAGCCTTTATGTGTAAGTTTAACACATTACAGTATTTACTGTTCAGAATAATTAAGGCTGTGATACTTGACTTTGTTGCCAGAGTTTTAACTGATATTTTCCTGAAGGTCTCTTAACTCTCTATTTTATAAAAACTTATTCTAGTATTTGAAGCGAGTAGTTAGAACTTGGACATTTATAAAACTGCAAGATTTCTAACTTCCCACATTTGGTCCAGGTCTTAAGTGGCAAAGCTGCTGGAGTATGTAAAGAGCAAACAACAGAATTATAGTACATGCTGCTTAGAACTGACTTATCAGTATCTTGTTTGCAGTGGTGGCTGCATAGTGCCTCCTCAACAAGTTCACTGATGACACCAAGCTGGGAGGAGCAGCCAATACCCCAGAGTGCTGTGCAGTCCTTCAGAAGGATCTCAGTAGAGAGGGATGGGCAGACAGGAGCCTTCTGAAATTCAACAAAAGCAAATGTAGGGCCCTGCACCTGGGGAAGAATAGTTCTGGGTTCCTCACAACAAGGAAGACATGGAGCTCCTGAAGCCATTCCAGCAGAGGGCAACAAAGTGGATCACATCACTTAAAAGAATAGGCTGAGGGAGCTGGGCCTGTTTATGCTGATGAAGACTGAGAGGGGACCTCGTCAATGTCTGTAAGTATCTGAAGGAAGGGTGTTAAGAGGATGGAGCCAGGCTTTTCTTTGTGGTGCTGAACAATATCACAAGAGGCAAATGGCAGAAAGTGATACCCAGGAAGTTCCACCTGATTATGAGGAAGTTCTTTACTGTGTGGGTGGTTGAGCACTGGAGCAGTTGCCCAGAGAGACTGTGGAGTCACCTGCACTGGAGCTATTCAAGAACCATCTGGACACAATCCTGTCCCATGTACTCTAGGATGACTCTGCTTGACCAGGGAGGTTTGACCAAATGACCCAGTGTGGACCTTTCCAACCTGACCCATTCTGTAATTTACCAGTAAGATCAGGTAAAATTAGTCAAACCCCAGACTCAATTAGCAGTTACAACACAGAATGTACACTACCCCCTGCAAACAACTGCAATATCAGAGCTGAGCATTCTCCTTACTCTTGAATTTTTTGTTCATGACGCTGGCTTTCCCACTGGAAGAACACCTGAGCATGACATTGTGCAAGGCTCCTAAGAAACAAGTCATGGTACATAGCCTTTTATTCTGGATTGTTTAAAAGTTCTCTTGACATATTTCAAAAACCGTTAGGATATGCATCTAACAGCAGCTGCCATTCTCTTACACTTTATGGGAAACTGGATTTACACCTATGCTCCATATTTTGGCAAAAATTGAGGATAAAGAATGTGTTTAACAGTGAGCTACCAGCATGCTAAAAGCAAAAATCCCTAACTCTATCCTAATAGAGTGTTAACAGTGTTCTACCTAGTCTTCTGCTGAAAGTAGACCAGGGAAGGCACAACCAATGTAGGACTAAAACAAAAGAAAAACAAAACAACAAAAATATCCTCAAAAACTACCCCAACCAGCATTAGGTAGGCCCCTAAAGACCAAAAACAGGCTGGACATTCTTGGATGTGACAGCATTCCTGCAACTAATCCAGTATATATCATCATTGAATACGAGACTTCTATGTTTCTTTTCTAGAGGATGGGTTTGTGACTGCAGAAGGGGTTAAAAATAAGGGAAAAAAATCCAAAGAATAGTAACAATGACATCAGAGAATAGAAAGGGAAAAAAAAGAACTTAACTTTGAAATCCCTGAACAACAAACACTGAACTTGCATAGAACAGTGACATTTTCTCGTAGATTCTACTCCACCACCATCAGAAAGACTCCATGGAGAAGTTACCATTTTGAAAATTTGCTCACTAAAGTAACATAAAAGGAAAAGCTGAGGAGTTCGGAACTTGTACTAGCAAATCCCCTGAAGGTCACCTGGCTGAAGTGTTCAGTGACAGCAAAGCACCATAGTACCTGGCAGATGAGAACAGAAGTGTGTCCTCCCATCCTGTTATAAAACGCATAAAGAAGATACTAGCCCAATACAGCAAGAACACCACATACCTGGTCATCCATGCCTTTCTCTGTTCACAAGAAACAACAACAAAAAAACCAGCTCTGCACAGAATTGTGTGTAGTCTTGAGAGTTAACTAGATCCTCAGAAAGAGATCAGAAACAACAACTCAGCACGAAATTAGATGGGATTTTGCCAAGAAGGTTACAGTGATTACTTATACCTAACTTTTCTCCAGAGCTGCAGAAATCACACTACTCACAGACACAAGTTCAGAACCACTTAGATGTTTACATAATCTAAGGCTTTAGTTAGCACATTAGCAGGAGTGCTATGTCAATATCCAGGCAGCACATTCTTTGGAATAAGAACCTCTAAAATTATTGCTTAAGCATTCCACTTATAAAGTGCTGATTTTTTTTTCAGACACTGAAGTATCTTTGATTTGGACCACAGATCTATTTTCTTGGGACATCTAATCTCAGAATTTGAATCAGCTTTCAAATAAGTCCTATAAAATACCAGTGAATAGTTCACTCACCCTGAGAAGCAACAGCTGAGGACAACCACATAAGTGTAACCAATGGCAGGGCTGAGACTGAAGACCCACTAGCCTATGGAACAGACTTTTTGCACTTACATGATTTTCCTTACTCACTTTTCTCCATTCAGAAGAAATATCACATTTTGCTGGAAGAATATCAAGTTTAGGACTGAAGATCAGTGATATAGAAAAGCACATGCTTGGACTGTAGTCTGAGATTGGAACCTGCCATGTCCTGTGCCATGTGCTATCTAGGTAACACACAGGTAGAGTCTTGGCTAAGAGGTTTATCTCCAGACTGCTTCCTGACAAGAAAGAAGCAGGATTTCTGATACATTACTTAATCAGCACTTTATCCTATTTACAACTCTTAAAATTGTACCATTCCTTCTATTCCTCCTCCTCCTTCCTCCTTGACTGTCTCCATGAAAACTTTATGCATTGAGAAGATTAAGAATGTGTCTTCTCTCAATAGCAAGAGAGAAAACACATGCATGTATTTAGGACCTGTATTTTTCTCCTACAGAACACTGCATTTGGTCCTATCCATTCTCACCAGACATAACCCATCCCAAGACTGTCAGCCTACCAGAGGCAAGATTCACTGACTAAAGTGCAGAATTTACTTTCACTTCCAAATCTGATCACTTGCCTTACTATATGACACTATGCAACTCCAACCAAATTAGTTTGTTTCTTACCATTAGAAAAAATTATTTTCCAAAGATTCAGACCTAGTTTTTCTAAAGTGTTTCTGAGTTCCTCACATGAAGAACTTAATTATATTGCATAAAACAGAAACAGGAAGGTGACCTGCTTATTATTCCTTTATGAATGAAAAAAAAAAAGAAAATGAACTTGTTAGATGAAAATTGTGTTTAATTAGTGGTAGGTACCAAACCACTCTTGAAATCAGTGCATCAGTGCTACTAAGCAACATACCAAATCTATGCAGATATAATTTATTCTATTTTGATTCCAATATAAGTTTTTTCCAACACATCCTTTGCTTAATCCCCAATCTACTTATCCAAAACACAATACAAGCTATACTTAGTTTTCTATTATTACTTAGAAGTAAAAAAAACTTGTTCTTTAATATTTTGGCTTCAAGAAAAGACAGCTTGTGAATCCACTGGCAATCTCCATTAAGAATTTTTTTAGTTTCCAAAGTCCTATCAACACTTAAAAGTCTTCCACAGATTAAGCCAAATCTATGGTTAAAATTCAAAATACAAAAGATATGAATTATGTTTTTATAAAAATGTAAAAAGCTAGTCAAAATTACATGTTTAGATATTTAATCTCTGAACAAATGGAGTATAGCAGCAGGGAACTTAAATATTATAACTATCAACAATAAATACAAGAAATTAATGCAAAGATTGCAATAGAAGGATTCTTGAGTACAATGAGAATATAAAGAGACATTCTAATTTGTACAAAAACCATCCCAACTCTGTATACAATCTCTTCTATAAATACAACCAGATAAGATGAAATGCTTATTTGCAAATAATAGTTATTAAAAAGTGTGCTTTATTGGGGTTTTCATTCGTTCTCTTGGCAGGTGCAGTTTGCAGGAAGTCTGTAAAGACAAATTTCCATAATTAGGTATTTTAATTTCTCCAGAAGTTATATTTTAAATACAAGTAACAACAGATGCAGAACATACTTCCACAAAAAGTGTTATTAGAACAATAAACACTGTAACAAACCCATTTGCAATTACCAGATGTGTAACAATAAGGTAAATTGTTAACAAATCAAGTTTACCTATAGCGGAGCATGGAATTGGCTGTGCATTGCTATTGCCTGTTGAAGTTTTTCCTCTTTGGCTCGTCTGCAGTGGCAGAGCTATGAAAAAAGACATACAAGGCTGAATTCTAAATGCAGTTTTTTATAATGCATACTGCAGTTTATCCTTAATGATTTTAGCTATTTTACAGGCTCTTTAAAGAAAGAAAACCCTGCCTGACCTACCTCCCTTCCAAGCTTTGGGCTGAGCTACGGTCTATACAGATAACATTATTTTATTCAAAATTGTTTATAAGAGGATTGTTTCCAATGTTACAAAATGCATTTATTGGGTACCTTTAAAGAAAGGTACACTACTTGGTAAGTTACTTTTGTCACAGCACAAACAAGAATGGTGGTTTTTGAACCTCAGTTACTTATTTGATGATAGCCATCAACAGAATTTGTTTAAGAAGTTTAATAAATTACACATTAAGGTTGTTTAATGCAACATGCCAGTTTATGTCAACCTTTCAATTCTGAAATTTACCATGTGGCTATCTTCCCCTATATCTAGACAAGATACAGAAGAAATTGGCACAAAAATATCTGCAACAGCACATGAATATGGTCTAATGCAGGAGACCTTTGCACTCCCATCTTAAAAGTATGTGCCTTTGAAATGCAGATTATAGTTTAAATAAACTGAAGCCATTTAAGGATATTTTTTTCTTCTGTCAAAACTCACTAAAGCACTGTTCTGTATCACAGGACTCCTCAAACTCTTAAAAAAAGAAGTCCTAAATTTGTTCACTGTGTTTTGTACATGTCGTGGGTTAGAACTATTTGTATATTACATACCGTTCTCTTTTCCATGAAACTACTAAGAAAGTCATCTATCTCTGTTTTGCCTTCCAAGAAGTCTTCTGCAATAGTATCAGACTCCTCTTCAGCTTCATGAGCAGCTACTTTAAGTCTGGCCTGCAGAGCACTCGGACTGCAACTCTAAGAAAATAAAAAGTCCAATGTAATATTAGCCTGTCCATTAAAACTTATATTTCCACGAAGATAAATGACTATACACATATGGAATATGTGGATAGAGTACTATTATTACATAAAAGCCTAAGTAACCAGATGAAGTTCCATCTCCAAGTTACAGCACAGCTTGTTAAACTAGAAAGGCTTCACTGTGAGAAAAGTGTTGCTAGTTTAGGTCTTGATACACAATCATTCACACAAATGAAGAAAGTTTTTCAACTTTTACCCTACAGTGTAGAAAGCATCCAGCTTGGAAATCTGACAAGTTCTCAAGTGCATGATTTCTGAGCAGAACTAACATTTCAAGTGTCTTCAATAAATAGGGTCTACTTTTGAAAATCAGCTGTGAACCTGAGAAGTATAAAAAGGTAAAAAAGCACTTACTGTTCCGCTTTTAAATACCCTTGAAATGATTGTGGAGAAGACAGGAAAGAAAAAAGCACCTACTCAAGAAGTAGATGGACTGCTAATCTAAATCAGTATACTCATTTTTCTGTTCTTATAAACATCAAAACTTACTTCTGCTTATTGCATACAATTTCATTTTTTTTTTCTCAAATATATCTGGGCAGTTAAAGAGGATGTGATTCACGTCCAGTAGGAGTCTGTACAGAGCCAGAACTGCAAAATTAAGGTATTTATATATTTTAGATGCTTGGCCTAACCTTAATCTACCCTATGAAAAATCTTTTATTTATGTACTTTAAAACCTTAATGTAATCAAAAATTTCCTGTTAAATTAATCTTGTACAAAATATGGAGAGTTTGCTCTAATAGAAGATAACTAAAATTCACTCAACTCAAGTAAAAATATTTGTTTGGAAATTTGAGGGAAAGAGAGCAGGAGATACCATGTAGTGCACAGCAAACATCACTACATGAAGATATAGCATATATGCAAAAAAGGCAGAAAAATTCAACTGCTACTTCTCAACTCTCAGCCTCCTATCCACCATTACACTGAATCAGCAAATCAGATTTAGAAAAAAGAAAAAGGACTTCAGCAGTGTGATATTATGTCCTGTTCTTGAATGGTTTCTTGCAAAAATAGGTAGTTTTTAGGAACCAGATTATCCTGATTTCCAAGTGAGGAAACCTCTAATACATTTAGACCACCTACGAAATCATTCAGTTTGCCACCATGCAACCTTTTTTTTTCTTTTCAGTTTGTTTTGTTATTCTGGGGGCATTCTGAAATTCAGGTACTATGCATACTAAACTGATGGACTGCTGCATTCTCAGGTGATGAGTCTTGCACATTATGAAGACTTCAGTGCAGAAAGTGGTTTATCAGAAGTTATATCTTCTAATGAATACCCCGGTAAACATACCAAGAAATTATTCTCCTTGAATACTTTCTGAAGTAATAACTTCTGCTCTATTTACACTGTAGAACGTGCAAGGTTTGACAGCACATAGAACATACTGGCTGAAATAAGCATTCCTAGTGAACTGCAGAATTTAAGTTCCTGCAGTTATTGAGCCCTTTCATCTGGTACAGCTTTACAAGCTCATTATGTTAAATGAGTACCATTAATTGAACATGCCTTCTTTAAAAATTACTCTGTTCTTAAAACTGGTTTGGACTGGGATTGTACTGAACAGTTCTAGATGTAGATCACTCTTTTCTTCCAACTGTGCTTCTATTGTTGCAGTAAAAAATACAAAAACCCAATAAGAAAACCATTACTTTGCTTTCAACTTTTTGGTACATAATTCCATTTTTTTCATATTTCATGAAATACTTAATCTACTTCATATTAAATGACAGTTAAACCAAAAGAATATTCTTAATGGTTAAAGACACAATTCAACACTTCAGATTTATCAAAGTATTCTTAAAGGATGCCATGTAGGAATTATACCTCACTAAGTTCATGCTGTCTTTGCATCTTTTTTTCAAAGGCTGCTTTCATTTGTGTGAGTTGCTCGTACTGGAAGGAAGAAGAAAAGGAACATTATCACCTTGAGAAATCTCCAGATATTACCACTCATATTTCTGAAGATGATTTTATTGTTAACTTACTTTATCCAACACTGTCTGTCTTTTTGCTTCAAGGCTAGGCTCCAGCAACAGGTTTTTTTCTGAAAAATAAAATCACTATTACTACTTTTTTTAAAGGATTTAGTTCACAGAACAAAGCCACACATGTTAACATTTTGACAGCTTACTTGCCAGCTCTTCAATGCTTTTCACTAACTCATCTCTATCAGTAATGACTTGCTTCAGCTGTGGAAGAGTCACAAACTGTTCCAGTAACACCTCCTCTTGCTCATTCATACTGGTCAGCTGTGATATACTGTACTCAAACAGAAAAAAAAAGTACATATAAATCTGAAAACATCACATGTGAAGTAATTAATTTCTTCCAAAATTTGAAGCATTTTTTGGCACTTTACAAATACATGACACTTCACAACTTATTTTTCCCCTTTCTCCTTGGGCTCTACTATATGCAGCAGTGAATTTAAAAAGCAGCATGTTAACAAATATCTCCCATTTCAAGCCTTACTTCCCATAATGCTACTATAGTGGATTGACTGTGTCAAGCTACCAGATGCCCAGTCAGCTGCTCTCTCAGTCCCTCTCCTCAACACGCTATGGAGGAAAATCTCAGGAGTTGAGATAAAAACAGTGAAGTCACTTACCAGTTACAATCACACACAAAACACACTCAGAAAAATTTAACTGAATTTATTGTCAATTACAGTAAGAGTTGGATGGTAAGCAAGAAAGGCAAAAACTAAAACACTTTGCTCCATTTTTCCTCAGGCTCAACCTCATTCCTTCATGTCTAACACTACCTTCCCCTGTCTCCCTCTCCTTGGGGCAAAGGGGGAACTGCCAAGTGTAGCAGTCAGTCCCTAACAGTTCATCTCTGCTTCTCCTTCCTTCTCACACTTCACCTCTGCTCCACAGACTGCAATCAGTTCCTGGCAGGAGAGACT